ATACATAAATATTTATGATTCTCTATTATATAACGATTGATTAATTTTAATTATTGAGATTTACCGATTATTTTAGTCAAAGAAAATTTTAATCAATTGATGCGCAAAATTGTGAATAGCACAACTAGTAAAGTTGCTTCTAAAATCCAGATAAATTTTCATGATTATAATGTAAGACTATCGATATGATAGAAACTCTACAATTTTTTTTAAATTATATTTAGGAAGTAAATATATTATGTACAAAATTAATCATAATTTACATCATACAATAGTGCAAATTTTTTGTTATATTGCAGCAACAAATTTACTGAAACTTACATTTATATTTAATATTATATTTTGCATGACGTATTGTTTTGAGCAAATCTTGATCATTCTCTTCGTATTTCTATTCCGTTATTCTATAAATGTGAGTACCTTATACGTACTATTCATATGGGATGTAATCTTTACGGGATGAATAGTAAAATCCATACAGGATGGATCTCATGATTATCGATTTCATACATTCCCCTTACGGGCAAATTTTAATCTTTTTACAATATTTTTCTTTTTATATAACTGAATGTATCTATTTATCTGGAAAGAGATTTACGAATTAAATAAAATAAATTAAAGATCTGCTAAAAATAATGTCACATAAAATATGAAAATCTAAGCTAACTTTTAGTAAATCTGTAATTGCTGCATCAACGTACAAACAAAAAATATACATTGCTGTATGATGTAAATTTTATGATTAAATCAATGCAGTATATTTGCCTCGTCAACTCAATCAAGCAAATTGTAGTTTCCGTCGTCGATTGTCTCACATCGTGATGGTCGTGAAAGTCTACCTAGAATTTCTGTATCGATGTTATAAACACGACGTTTCGAAGGCCATTAGAATGCCGGACAAGCCGGAGTGTTATCGTTCATTGGCGACTCGCCGGCACCGTTTTCGGCTAGAACGATATCGTCCTCGATATTATGTTGCGTCGTGCCGTGTCGCATCGCTGCGTCGCATAAGTCCTATAAGTATGCACCCGCACATCTGCTGTAATATTTTCTTTGCTCGTATAAAAAGAACTTTTGTGGTATCACACGCGCGGCCAGACGTTTATGCGGTCCTTTTATACATATAGAGACGTACACTAGTACGGAATTTCTTATTTGCGCGGAATATGAGCGCTTGTGCGCGGTGACGGTCGTATACTGGAACGACGACACCATCCTCATCTTTTCTTTCTTTTCTTTTTTGTTTTACTCGCACACACAGAAAAATATCATTCTGCTGAGAGAAACGATTACTCAGTTTACTTTCCTTTCATTTAAATAATAGCTATTTTCAACGAAGAATATTATCTCGAAATAATCTTGAAATAAACTCATCACAAATTTAAATGAAACTCACATTATCGTATACGCAAAAAAATGTATTCTCTTTACAAAAATTTCCTTCTCACAAAACAATTGCTGTTTTCAACAAAGAATATTTTCTAATAATAGTTGAAATAAACTCACCACAAATTTGAAAGAAACTTACATTATCGTCTACTCAAAAAAAGAATGTATTTTCTTTGCACAAGAGTTTCCTTCTTCTAAAGGATATTTCCAGCATAGAACATTTTTCTCGATAATATAATTTTGAAATCATTATCAAAAATTTGAAAGGAGCTCACATTATTGTGTAAAAATTTCAATCTCTAAAATAATGGTTATTTTTAATATTTGAGGAAAATATTTTCTCAATAATAGTTTTGAAATACATTCATCACATTTCAAACTGCATTTTGAATAAATTTAATGCTTGTGATAAACTTGTGATAGATTTGCGGATACGTGAACTTACAAAATATTTAAAACATTTACTCGAGTGTATTATGCATTTATATCTTGGCATTACACGCGTTCGAACATCTCAGCCGTATAACCGCGAATAGTCGCGAGAACGTGAATCGCGTTTAATCATCTTATACAAAATTACTCGCGTGCAAAATTACTTGCGCATGTTGTATCCCGTTAATTTTTTTCTTCTTTCTCCCCGAATTGATTAAATATATAGTAGTTTTATATACGTTTATAATAAACGAGTATTATTTAAGCGACGGCAGTTTGCAAACGTCTCAGCCGCTTAACAGTGACAGTCCTCACGGGTGATAAACGGTGCAGTAGATATCGTATTGTTAATACAATGCAAATGTATTCCAGGTGAGAGTCTTGCAGAGTACCGCCGGCGGTCTTATCTAATGGTTATGCGCTGTCCGAACGCGGTATTTTGTTCTACGAGTCGCATATTTAGCGATTCGTCTTTAACTTAAGTGCTAAGAGCAAAAAAAATTAATATGAATAAAAGTTGGCTTATAAAATTCACTTGAACGCGATGTCGAGTGGATATAAGACCGCAAAGTGTTAATACGAAATTGAACGCAAACATGTAAGACAAATTGCACGTTCATATATTTTGATTTAATTGATTTAGACTTACTTCGACAAATTTTTTCTACATAGCTTCTCCCGGTGAGAATTCTTACGGAATCTTACGCTTTATTGACATATGCATCGCAGATAAATTTGAATCGCAAAGAGTTATTACACCGAGAAAAAAGAATCTAAATACCTAAAAACTAAATATATTCGGTGGGTATTAACAGCATCTTTACCTAAATGTAAACTTGTTTATTTAAATAGAATAAACAATTGTTTTGGTAAAAAGCTAAGGTTAAGAGAAATTTCGTTACTATTGATAAAAAAATATGATTAACAGTTCGACGGATGTTTGCAAGTCCCTAAGTACATTTCCCCGCGTATTCTTTGGGTAACGACATGATAAAACAGATAAGACGAATGGCAACGGAAGGGACAAATGTCACGGTGAAAACATCTCGTTCGAGTATCGAGCCGTTACGACGAGCTATCTCCGAACCAAACGATTGATAACACAGCTACTCGTATTAAGGGAATAATAAAGGGACATATTTTTCTCTCTCTTTCTCATATTTCTTTTTCTTTCGTTACTCCGCGTAGAACTCTCTCTATCGCGTGCTCTATAAAAAAGAAATTTGGGGGACACGCAAGGATCTTATTACTCGCGAGGCGGAAAAGATTGGCCGCGCTGCTGACGCCAAGATCGTTGAAATCCCACGGTACTGCGCGGTATACAGATGAGACGGTATCGATCGCGGGGAAGACGCACGATAGCGTAATCGGCGAAGATCATCTGTACTGACGTGCGTGAGACGAGACACGGAGTCGCGATTGACCTCTTCCGTTATCGGTTCGAGCTTATCGGCCAAATGGCGTCAGCCTTAACGTAGAAATGGGGTGCGCCAGGAGTCTACGTGCGCCAGAAACGTACGGCTAGATCCTGAAGAGGATAAAATAAAGAAAGACTGAGCTAAGAGGGAGCTCCGAGTTGCGCTTCGAGATTGCATCCTCGTCGCTCGATGACAACGTAAACCTCACAAACCTCCAACCGCGTTGTTTATCCTGGTTAATATATATACAGGGTGTTATCTTCCCCCAGCCACTACATAGCGTTATTCCTCGTGAAAATTTGAGTCAAGGAGCGAGTCACCGAGCGAGAATGTCGAGATGTCAGTAGTTCACGAAATACAAACGATCGAAGAAACAAGATTTTTCGCGAATTATACTTCGGCCAACCAAGTAGATAGTAAATCTATTAAGTGGATAAAAATCTATTTTCTTTGATTAATTTCAAGCGAATTTTATTTGAACAGATTTTTCACTTAACTGTAAAGATATGTTATATATTAAATGTTGAAAAGTTGTCATAAATAAAAACTTGTTTCAACAAAATAGCTTAGGATTTTTCCACTCCAGTTTTCCATGATAAATAAAACGCTATGTACTTAGTGGGCGGGGCAAGATAATATCTTATATATATATATATATATATATATATATATATATTTTTTTTTGTTGTGTGTGTGTGTGTGTGTCAGTTTCAGTGTGTATTATGACTCCTGATACTCACCACGGCCATGTTGGGTTGTGACGTCAGAAACGAAAAATAACACGCTGAAAATTCTTGTCATTTCCAAATAAAAAGATATTTGTATAAAAAAACACTTCAGATCACTTGAGCATATTTGTAAAATGTTCCGAAAACTGTCCTTTTCCCTTGATAATCAATAAATAATCTTAAATGAACGTGACAAAATCATGAGGAAAGATATTTTAAAGATGAAGGTTGCACATGTCGTATTTATTTTAAAACTATCGATTGTACTTAAGAGAGAAAAGGATAATTCTCGGAACACTTTACAAAAATGTTTAGGCACATCAGAAGCACGCTTCCGTACAAATATCTCTTCATTTAGGAATGACACGCAAGAATTTTGGATATGCGTTTTCTCGCTTTTGACGTCATTAATCCAGAATTCCACAGCGAGTATCCAGGAGCCTTAAAGAAATCGTCCCATGAAATATACAACGTGGTTTTGCTACGAGCACCGTGAAGAAATTGGAATATGCGAAGAAATGGGCATGAATGCAAATTTTCTAGCGATAATCAAAAGCGGATACGAGCGTCTCATAAATATCGCGAGAAATATGTTGGAACGATAACGCGCGGCGATTTTGCATATTCCGCTTACGATTCGCGCGATAAAACTGCTGTGGTATCGCGCGATCATACGAAATGTTTTTTTTTTTCCTTTTACGTTCATTCGCAATATGCGTGCGTTATCTAACGAGCACATGAATCTACACTGAAAAAAGAATTTGGTTGACTAAAACAAAATTTGATTAAAAAACAGGACCAACCAAATGTTTGATAATTACAACCAAAAAATTTAATTGCCGCTATTTTGCTTTGCTTTTTTCAGAAAGAAATAAATCCGAGAAAACCGCGGTAAAGAACGACGTTGGGAATTCGGGGTCTGTGGACGTATCGCGTGTGCTCGTTAACGAGAAATTACTTCGCGTTCGTCTAATCGGATTCGCTATCAATTAGTAGCCCAGCCAGTTAACAAGAACGGTGTGATTCGTTTCAGGTGGTTGCCGTGTCAAGTTAGGGTCGAACCGGATATCTGCAGCTGCGATTACGATGGCGTTATCCTGGTCTCAGAATGCCCGCCCGGCACCAACGAACCGGAACCCTTCAAAACCGTCCTGCACGCCGCGGCGCAGATCGATGCCGGGCTGGACGCGCTCGGCGCAGTTTTGCCCATCAATTTACCCGCAAAAAGGCTCATTTACAGTCCAACGGGCACGATTAACATGGATTATCACGACGTGCGCAGCTACGGCGAAGCCGCCGAGCAGGGAATGAAACGGTAATACTGCTATGTGATTCCCCACGCGCTGCTCTTTCTCTTTGCCCTACTTTCTTTTCGCACATTTTTCTCTCGTTTTCTTTAACGCTTAACGGGAGCAGTAACAAACGCTTCGTAGCCGCATGGGATATATTTTACGTATATATTATCGGCACGTCCCGTTGGCTCTTTTTTTGCATGTATATGCAGTCGAAATTTTAATTGTACTTTGGACCTGAACTTTCTAATACTTGTATATTCTGAAGGATCAGTGCATGTGTAATACACATGGAAACTATGAAATCCCACTTAACGCCTGTGAATGATAGAACACGCACAAAATGCCACTTAACAAAGAGGATCTCTCGGCAAAACTGGTAGATTGAGTAGAATGAAAAGAGTATCAAAACAGGCGTTTAATAGAATACTGAAAAGTGAGATTGAAAATATATGATCAAAGTACGACCAAAATTTCCACTCTAGTATATGCATAAAAAATGTCGTTATAAATAAGCAATGATTAATGATGTTTTTGAGTAATCATAATGTGTGTCCGAGAATTATCGTACACTCAAAGAAAGATACATGTTAATGACAATTACATGAATTTGACAACTATATGAATTTTATATGTACACACAGAGAAAAATATCTAAAAAATATTTATTCAATGGTTACTGACAACATGTTTATACTTAAATCTAAAATTTGTTAATGTAAATAAAGATAAACAATTTCATGAAAAGCTAAAATTTTCAGAAAATACATATTTTTTTATTTAAAAAACATTTTATATTAGTATAAATAAATATGTTATTAGTCCCCACCGAATAGTTTTTATTTTTAGGTATTTTTTAGATATTTTTTTTCTTTTAGTGTAGAATCAATATAAAGTCAATTATTTTGTAATTATTGCAACTAAACTGAATGATTAAAAAAGCTATATAGATAATTAGAGAACTATCTATAATATAATATAACTATTCAGCTTTAGTTAAAATAGTTACAAAATATTTTATAAATTATATATATTAATTTCACAGACAAAACTAGTTTTGTCACCAATGTAGTTATCATTACCATGTACTTTTGTCTGACTGTACAGCAGTCACTAACGACACATTATAAAGCTTAAGTAATATCGCGTAGATGTCAAAGATCGAACAACAAATCAATATACTTGCACGCTTACGTGCGAATATGAGAACGCGAAAACCGGTCGACTATTGCGAACTCAATGTCTCCGTATCGAGATAGTCCATTTTTTCGAACTCTATCACACGCTATTAAAATGCCATATCCTCGCGATACGGTTATTAAATTGTAGGAAATTGTCTTAAAAGTTCATAGTCTTAAAAGATATATGCTTATAGTTTCACATTCTTAAAAAATATGTGCATATATTCTTAAAGTGCTTACACTTTCATAGTCTTCAAAATGCATATACATATATGGTCTTAAAATATATATAGTTTCATAATTTTAAAATGTCAATAAATCTTCTACTCTGAGAGAAAAAATATCTAAAAAATTAAAAATATATATTCAATGGGTACTGATAGAGCTTTATCTAATTCTAAATTTTTTGCCTAAATAGGATAAATTGCTTACATGAAAAAGCAACAATTGTACAAAAATGTAATTTTATAATTTACAAAATGTTCTTTTCAATGTAAAGATATACATATTAGTACAAGTAAACGTGTACATGTATTAGCGCCCATCGACAAAATATTTTTTATTTTTTAGATATTTGTTTCTCTCAATGTACACGGAGAAAAATAATTTGCTGACCCAGAAAATTTTCTGGTCTAGCAAAATCTTTTCGTTATTATATGGGTAGCAAAAAGATTTGCTAAGAGTACTAATCATTATTTGCTGGATATAATTTGCTGAATCTATAAATTATTTTGCTATAAGAATCATGATGGATTTATATAAGCAGTTGCAGTTTTGCTCCGATAGTAAATAAATTTGCGAAGGATATATTATTTTGCATCAATAACAAATTAACGTGATTCTTAGGACACTCAACAAGTACACTCAACAATTTTTTTCTATCCTGGCAACAAAACTATTTCTGCTCTGATAACGAATAATTTGTAAAATTAATTATATCAACTAAATTTTTTTATTTCACTACGAATATGCAGTAGCAACGACGATTTTGCAAAAAGAACAAAATTATTTTTCTCCGTATAGTCTTACATTTGGCCAAAGTTATGCAAGAATGAACCACAAAATTATAATTTGTGAATTTTTGTTTTTTACCAATATATAATCTATACGTCTTTCTACGTAAAACAAAAAAGATCCAAGCTTTATGAGCACCTAAAATTAATTAAAAACTTTATATTCTCTATTAACATTTACCTATTTTTATCTATTTTTTAAAGGTTAAGCATGTCAATGAATACTTTTAAAGAGAAAGAAATAGACCATGCTTGATTTCTTCGACGACTGCGAAAAACCTCAGTGCTATCTATACTTTTTAAATCGTGTAAATTTTTTTCTTCATTCTTTTCGAAACGCATTTCACATGTGGGTTATATCATTCCTCCATAACTATAACGGCCATTTATAATCTTATCAAAGGACAGTATATCACCGCCCTTGATCTTTCCGTTGCAAATCAATGTGATCTACGAGACTACGCATGCATTACGCAGAATAATACTCTGCGAGTGTTGAGATTTAACACTCACCAATCTACATTGAAATCCATCGTCATCCAATCAGGTCTATCGAATCCGGGCAGATCCACTCACGTTCAGTCAAGTCCAGGCAGGATCATCGACGAAAATCACGGCTGCATGCGAAAGCAGCGTCGACCCATGTTGATTGCACTTCACTGTATTTTATAGGGCACTCGCGACGTGATTAATATTTATGTTTTAACGGCGTGTAAACAATTAACGAATTTTCATTCATCTCTGAACGCGAGATCTGCAGCTTCGACGTGTCGAAGATGAAGTCGGAATCCGCGAATTCGTTGTGCTTGTCGCAATACGCACGAATTCGGCACTTTCGGCGGTTGCGAATATTCCCGAATTGCGAATAGAGGATCGCAAGTCGAACAGTAAATCATGTGTACAAAATCGCTAGTCGAAGAGCAAATTACGTATACCGGAAACCTAAATCGCGGGTGAAAAATCGCGAACTTAAAATCGGCTTGCAAATTAACACAACAATCGCGAAATTAACGTATCTGGAATTATCTCGCAAGCATAATGATCGCGTATGAAATTACTGACTTTTTAAATCCAAGTTTTTCTTGTGCGATACGTAAAGATGAATATAACGCATGTCTTTATTTAACAATGTAATCACGACGTAAAAGTACGTATGAGTATAAAAAAAATTTATAACCACGGGAGTGTCGACCATAAAATCGATCAACGTAAACACGAAGTAATCGCGAGTTTCGTGCGCAGTGGCACAATTCCGATACGCTGTGGACATTGCCCGAAACAATTAGGGAACCGCATTGAATAAATAGTTCAGTCGAATAATTCTACGAATGCATTTGAATTGAATGCAAGAGGAAGTTAAAACGTTACATTTGCGCAAATATATATTTATCAGAAACTAAAATTATATATTAAGATCAAAATATTGCATAATATTCAAGTAATATCAAATAATGACACGATGAAAATATTTATTGAATCGAAATATATAAACAGAGAGAAAATCACATTTGAATAATTAATCCCTCAATTATTTCGAGCAGTGTGTTTCATTAACACGTACACAAAGAGAGAATTTTATAGTAAAATGTATTATACAATTTTGTAATTAAGGAACATATCTGTCTTAAATTATTATCGTCTCATTTCTCCAATAGTATTAATTGATCAAGTTTCATTGACTGAAATAATCAGTAAGCCTCAAGAATTAAAATAAATCAATCACTATATATATAATTACGAATAATTTAATTAATCGATAAAATTAATTATTAATCAGTCTATAATTTATTAAATCAAAGCTTGATTAATAATTAATTTCATCAATTAATTATTCGTGATTTTATATATAAAGACTGATTAATTCTAATTACTGATTTGCTAATTATTTTAGTCAACTATTATTTTAATCGAAATTAATACCAACACTGCATTTCCTACTATTTATATTTTACTTACTATTTATTAGATTATGTGCTATTTATATTTTATATGATGTAATGTTTATATATTTTTGTTATCAAAAAAACTTTACTATATTCCTCAGCAAGAGATAAACTTTGCTAACATAGTCAATTCCGTCATTATTAGAAAAAACATGCTAAAATTGAAAAATCTATATAAAAAAGAACCTATAATATTCTCTCTTATTGTGTACATACAAAAAATCCAACATGCAATATAATTTATATACAGTATAAATCACATTGATTTGAACGAAACATCATAAAAATCCATCGTCTAACATCTTGTCATCTGTGACTAACCAAACCTACTAAGTTTACTCATATTCAACTCACCAAGATCTGTAACAGAAAGCAAACAATCGCGTTTAAACAAACATTAAGACTTTATGATTTTATATATAACGATTGATTATTTTAGTAATTAGTATTCATCATCGATTAATCCACAACACTGCATTTCTGTGTGCTATATATTTTAGTACTGTGTGCTATTTAGATTTTATATTTTCTGACATTTATATTTTTCTATTATTAAAAGAATCTCTCAGATTATTATAAAGGATTTCATGCAAGTATTCTAACATTCATGTCGCCAGACAAGTTGTAAGAAGTTCAATTCACTGCGCAGATCATCACTGTGCATTGAGAGATCTGTGTAATAAACTGAATTGTTTACAGCATGCCAGGCATCATGTATGTCAAAAAACAAAATCGTACATTCTGAGGTGCTGACATTAAATTCAAGAGTTCGGCTTAAACGAACAGATGCTCACAAGAACGAGAGTGGATTAACCCTTCGCGGTTATAATTCGACTCACTATGAACTATATTCCGGTCCTCGACAACAAAGGGTTACGAAGACAAATCGCGAGAGATGAACTTACTCCTCGAGGCAAGCCTGCCCGGCCCGAACCGGATCCTCCGGTGCCGCATCCGTACGAATCGCGTCCTCGGAACAGCATCCTCGAAGCCGCATCCGCGAAACCGCATTAGCCTCTTCTTTGGAAAACACTACGCGCACGATCTATAACGAGAATATATTTTCGATAATGTCACGACAACAAGACGACGAGTGAGGTTATGTTAAGTTCAATCACGAAAATGCGGCACTCCCGATAATATATTCCTCGTAAAACTTGACTTACAATGCGCTTCTTGGTTCCTGTTTCTTTCTCTTTATCTCTTGCTGAGCCTCAAAGCTTAATACCTGAACCAGAAAATAACAGTGAACGTCAGGAGCAATATATTGTTAATGAGACGAGATTCACGAAAAAACGAACGCGACTCACTTGATCGATCTCACGACACTCCCGCTCAGGATGATCCCGACGAGAAAAACTCGGAGTGAAACACCTCTGCTCGAACTTCTTAACGTTACGTCGACCGAGCGTCTGTACAAAGCTCTAAATAACACGCGACGTCGACGTACGTGCTCGCTCACTCACGACTGTGACAGTTGTGGTAGCGCGCGTCCTCTTCGCGTCCTCTTCGCGCGCGCTGAAGGGCGACCGTTATGCTCGCGCGGCACGTAGTCCTCGCCTATTGTTGATCATATTCATCTACGAGGTATCGTACGATACTTCAATAGAGAACGCCTGGATACATTTTTATGCACCGCATCATCTACCTATCTATCTCTCCGATTACACAGCGCGCTTCTAACTCCCGATTATTAAATCCGACAATCGCGCGATTCTACTGCTGTTTGAGTGAGTGAAACGGCGCGACAGCAAGAGACACCGACTCGACTGGCTGCATATACCGCGCGAGAAGCGCGAGATTATAACGTACTTACGATACTTCCAGACGATTGCGCATCGCTCTTTTCGACACTCCTGGCGCTTATTTCCGCCGGAGATTCATCTCTCGCAGACAAAGGAGCGCGTAAAACGCGCGGCGATGTTGATCGACGTGTTAATGGCGGTGGCTCGATACAAAAAGAACGAACATAGGCGCGCAATTACTTACGTACGCCGACAATTCCCGCCACGAACACTGCGGCGCTGCTAAAAAATAACGTTTTCTCTCGCTTTCTCTCTTTGTCTCGTACTAATAGGTAACGCTGCCTCCCGAGATTCGGCGTCGCGAATATTCCTGGCGTTATTTTATCTTTCTCTTTCCTTTTGATTATCATTAACTTTCTAATTCCCAATTAATGAATCCGATGACCGTCCGATTCTATTACTAATTAAATGAGTCTAAGATAACGAGAGCGATAGACGACGGCTCGACACGACGCGACAAGCACAGATTTTACGCATTGAGAAATGAATAGATTACTATATAATAACGCATCTGTGATACGTTCCGACGATCACGTTTCGCTATTATCGACACTTCCGACAAATATTTCCGTACGAGACTCACTTTTGACGGACAAAAGTTGCGTAGAATGCGGAGCGATATCGATCGATGTATCCATGGCGGTTGCTCAATGCAAAAGGGTAGAAGATGCCCACGCAATGCATGATGGGCGCCGAAGATGCGCGCCAAAACGTTAAAGTCTTATCTACAATATGCTCTTTACGTTCTGTTTTTGTTTTCTGTCTTTTTCTGGCTTAAAGCTTAAGATGTGAGTCAGAAAGAGATAAAGAAAAAGAAACAGGAAGCAAATAACACATTGTAAATCAAGTTTTACGGTATCGCGATCCAACAAGGACGCCTCTATAGGTCTCTCTCTCTCTCTCTCTCTCTCTCTCTCTCTCTCTCTCTCTCTCTCTCTCTCTCT